TGAAAGCTGAAAAGTTGTGTGAAGCAAATCAGTTGCCCCCTGAGTATATTTGTGTGAATGGGCAACCTCTTTGTTATGAGGAGCTGGCTATATTGCAGAGTTGCCCTAACCCACCAACGAAGCTAAAGCCTGGAAACTATTGGTATGATAAAGTATCTGGTCTTTGGGGAAAGGTGAATGCATAATCTTTTAATGACATTGTTATTCTTTGCTACAATTCACATGTATTGTTAGGGAAACTGATTATTCTGAAATTGACAGGAGGGACAGAAACCTTCAAAGATTATTAGTCCCCATCTAAATGTTGGCGGTTCTATGAGGCCAGATGCTAGCAACGGAAACACACAAGTTTTCATAAATGGTCGCGAAATCACAAAAGTTGAACTTAGGATGTTGCAGGTTTAAATTTCTAAACACGTAAAATTGTTAAGATGGTTATTATTGTGCAAGATTGTTAATGACCATTTTGGTGAACATTGCAGTTGGCAGGAGTTCAAGTTGCAGGCAACCCACACTTTTGGGTGAATGAGGACGGTTCATACCAAGAAGAGGGACAAAAAAATACAAAAGGATATATATGGGGAAAGGTATGTAATATATGCATGCTTCAGTATGCCCTTTGCCTTTTTTTTGGATGAGATACTTGTATTACGCATTTATTTATTTGTTCAAAATTTAACTTAGGCTGGAATGAAGCTCGTCTGTGCTGTATTATCACTGCCTGTTCCTTCTAAATCTTCAAATCCTTGTGGAGAGTCACTTAACAGCATGAATAGCAGATCTGTTCCTGACTATCTTGAGCAGCGTACATTACAGAAGATTCTTTTGGTTGGATCTCCTGGATCTGGGTCAAGTACCATATTTAAGCAGGTAAATGATTATTGGGAATTACATTTTAACTTCTGTTGCTTTCTAGTTGTACTCATATGCAGATGGCTTTTCTTCACTAAAAATCGCTTGTGTAAGCCTCACATTCTCTTTGACTGAAGGAGATAGATGATGGTTTAAAAAAAGATATTTAATTGCATCAATCAAATTTATTCAACCGGCATTGGGGTTGGTTTGTATTCGGGTATATAATCCTCAAATGGTTCTATAAAGTTTAAATTTTTGAATGGTTGATACACAATAGTTCACAGAGATAATAGTGCGAATAGACTCTCAGGATAGCGTGTTACAATATTATCAATTCTTGATGAAAGGAAAATCTAGATTCCTAACTACTAGCATAGGAAATTATTCTTTATTCCTGAATTTTCATGAATCCTTGACTTCAGTGTTTATATTTACCACTCTTCCTGCTTTCAACTAATTAATGTTTTCTTAGGTTTACATGCTAATGTAAGACTACTGCTTAAAGATGAAATGCGCAATAGAAACAAGAATAATTGAGTAGTCAATTGATCTTTTAAACGAACGGATTGTTTCAGGCAAAAATTCTTTATAAAGATGTACCATTCTCAGAGGATGAACGTGAAAGTATAAAGTTAACAATCCAAACCAATTTGTACGGTTATCTTGGCATACTTCTTGATGGTCGTGAACGTTTTGAGGAAGAGAGTTCGGCTGAAATGAGGGAAAGGAGAAGTTCCAAGGACACTGAACCCGAAGGTGAGGCTGCATGTTGATTTTATTCTCCAAACCATCCTGTATACCCTCATTTGAAAATGGTTGTACTTTGAAAAGTGCAAGCTTGTTACAGCTGGAAATTAGGTCATACCCATCTCTAGCTGGATGTTCAAATATGTCAATGTTTATGCTTTTACAGATAGCTTTTTTGTAAGTAGCTTCTTTATATATTGGATATCTTTAAGGATTCAAGTCTTCAGATTTCCCCATGTAATTTTTTGAAGGGCGTTTCAGAATTTCATATCCAGCATGAGCATATAATGAACTGATTATTAGTATTGCTATTTGAAGCATCTAATTATTTCTTTTCATATTTTTTCAGCAGGAAGTAGTGATGATGCTGATAGCAAAACTATCTATTCCGTTGGCCCGAGGCTCAAATCGTTCTCCGACTGGCTTGTGAAGACTATGGTGTCTGGCAATTTGGAAGCCATATTTCCAGCAGCTACTCGTGAATATGCTCCACTGGTCGAGGAGCTGTGGAAGCACACAGCCATTCAGGAAACTTACAACAGGAGAGGTGAATTGGAAATGCTACCCGGTGTTGCTAGTTATTACCTGGAGCGGGTAAGATTTATGCTTGATACAAAAGTTCTTGTTTAAATTTTGCGTAACTTCTCAGAGAGCATCGATTTATATATCACTAGTTTTGTGTATCTGAATTCTGAAGGTTACTTGAATACCCCTTCCATCTTTCCAACTTGTTGCCTATAACTAAATTTCCTTCATGAAACTGGATATTCCATGAATTTTTTTAATGAAGAATTGGACCATCAGAATGTGGTTAGAGAAAAACATTAATTGGCTCAAAAGAAGTTGCCAACTTGTTTGTATTTCACTGTGAAGCATATAGGCTGTAAGGATTTGTTTGCAAGATGAACAGATAAAAACAGTGACACCATTTGGTTGTGAGGATATGGTAAGTGTGCTACTATGTAAGTTAAGAGTTTGTACAACACTAGGTTTAATTCTTCTGAAAAAAATAAAGATGTCCTAATGGAGGACCATAACATTTTAACAAAGAATCTTGCATGGTCCACAAGCTAGCTTCACCAGGCAAGTGGAGAATGACACATTCTTGTCTTTTGAGGTTCTTATGTCCTTAATAAGCAGACAATAAACTTGCCTTCTATTTCCATAATGTTGGGTGACCACTTAAAGTGGTCATCATCCTTGACACAGATCTCTCAAGCAATCTCAACTAGTATCAATGGTTGCACTTCTATGTCACTATATTTTCTGTTTTGAACTTTTGTGCCAGTATAGCCTCTATGACCCGTGTTTGTCTTAATTTTTCTCTAATGCTGTTTTTTTCACTATTCTTCAGGTTGTTGAGATATTGAAAACAGACTATGAACCTTCAGATTTAGATATCCTCTATGCTGAAGGTGCTACTTCATCAAACGGGCTTGCCTGTGTCGACTTTTTGTTTCCCCAATCTTCACCTGATGAAAATATTGACACTGCTGATCAGCATGACTCCTTGCTCAGGTAGGTCCCAATAGTAAGCACACGCTTTTACAAATGAAGTTATCTGCATTTTTTGAGGCTGTAGTAGTTCACTTGCTAAATCAGCACTCTGTTGTGATCTGCATTGCTCATTTCAAAAACTCATTATGTTATTGTCAAATGAATTTTATCCTTAAAAGTTTCGACTGGTTCTCAGGTACCAATTGATCAGAATGCAAGCAAGAGGATTTGGAGAAAATTGCAAGTGGCTAGAGATGTTTGAAGATGTTGGAATGGTCATCTTCTGTGTTGCCTTGAGTAACTATGACAAGTTCTCTGCTGATGGGACTAATAAGATGCTATTGAGCAGGAAACTCTTTGAAACCATCGTTAGTCATCCAACTTTTGATCAGATGGACTTCCTTTTAATATTGAACAAATTCGATATGTTCGAGGAAAAGATAGAACGGGTTCCATTGACTCGGTGCGAGTGGTTTAATGATTTTCATCCCCTGATCAGTCGTTATCGTACAAATACAAATAGCAACAGCATTAACAATAATCCTACCCTGGGACAGCTAGCATTCCATTACGTCGCTGTCAAGTTCAAGAGACTTTATTCTTCACTCACCGGGCGGAAGTTGTATGTTTCCCACATGAAAGGACTGGAACCCAACAGCGTTGATGCTGCTCTTAAATTTGCAAGTGAGATTCTCAAATGGGATGAAGAGAGGGTCAATTTCAGCTTAAGTGAACACTCATTTTATAGCACAGAAGCAAGTTCCTTCTCTCATTGACTAATTTCCAGGTCAGAAGAGGTCTATATTTGGTCATCAATGCCAGTGTACATACTACTCGTGTAAATGCACACGAGAGGACATTTGCACTTACTTGCAGCTGTAAGATTATGCATCAAGGCTGTTTTTGCCATTGCATCGGGTGTCATGCTATGGGGCTTTAAGAGGTACGAGCATACAAGTCGTAATGGAATATATAGTAAATCTCCATATCTTATACAGCAAGACCAGATGTATTTTTGTACAATGCTTTGTGTAGCTTCTACTATGTACATAATTCATTACATTCATTTGTAATATATGATGGAAATGCATGATTCAGTGACTGCTAGAATCTAGATCTCCCTAACTTGGCTCCACAAGTATATTAAAGTTGTGAAAGAAATCTCTTTTATGTTCTAATTCATGTACAAGAAAAAGCGGATCCTGTGTTGTTCTTGCTATCGTCAATCAGTTTGGACCACTCTTTGATAACTATGTCTGAGGAATCACTAGCCTTCATCATACTTGAACGGAGGGCCTGGAACAACACAAACCTTTGACTTAAGCCTGGCAACTCTAAACATAAGAAAGAGAAACAATTAAGAAAATTGATAAATCAACTTAAGAGAGAAAAAATACATAAATAATCTCATTTTAATATGAAAAGTAATTTTATATAACTTAAATATGAAAAAAATACATATAAATATAAAAATTCAAATTCTTATAATTCATCATCAAACCGAATGATGAAAATTTTAAAATATATCTATTTTCATCACTATCTTTGGGAACTTTTGGGAACTTAAAACATGCTAAAAAGAAGTAACAATTGGAAATATAGGTTCATCATATTACAAAATATAATCCTTACTTTAGGCACCTTCATCTGATTGCATTGTTTCCCTTGGGGGGGAAATGTTGCTCCTTTAATCTTCATGATGGAACCACAATCTTCTCTACGATCATGAAAACCATCATGGAATCACTTGCAAAGCATGCCGAACAGGTTACAACATAAGAGAGTTACTGCAAATAAATGTCCAGACTTGAATATAAACTTAAGGAGATATCTGAGTGCTTCCTCCATTATTCCTCATATCTACCCACAGAAGGAAAATAATTAATACACATGCCAACTTTTTTGCACTGATTCTTGACACAGCAAAGTCCTTTCGATTATTATTTTACTGGAAAATTCTAAAGGCACCTTGTTACAGATGAAATGTTCATATGATCAGAGCATCAGAAACATGTTACAATGTCATGGTTAACTATGGAAAAGGTTCTAACTTAACGATGCAGCGGACAGTTATACGTCGGACTAATTTCATCTCCGAGTTCTAAAATGGTTTGATTTGTTGAACCAATGCATCAATCGGGTCCAACCAGTTGGTATCTTGGATTGCCTCATTCTCCAGTAATGTTTGATAGCTTTGTGTTGTCTCTTCTTAGTCTTTGCCTGGAGAACATGTTTTTGACATCAAAATGCCGTCCAAACAGATTCTTCAGTTTTAATCACCAATCTTTCATGGAGTTCAACTTGTTGCTCTCCACTTCTATCATCTGTTTTTTTAACAAACAAATCCATGCATACTTATCAAATAAAGGATGAATATATATATATATATATATATATATATATATATATATATATATGTATATAGTACTTGAAATGTATCTTACTTACCCATTGATGAGCCCAAATTTGCGTCCTGATCAGCATGCATCTTATAAATGGTTATGTTCATCGAGGATTCAGCACCCTCGACCAGTTCAAAGACACAAGCATCACCAACTTCTAAATTATTATCCACGGAAAATTTACGCCAACCAGTACCAAATTTTACATGTGGCTTTGGTCCAGTTCTATACTGAGAACATATTACTGGCCATGATTTTCCATTTGAAAGGAGAAGTATGACCTCATTGTGCATCTTTGACAGATATTGCCTCGCAAAATTCGTTGGTATACACTGTTCAAACACACATGTCAATCCAGTTATTTATGAAAAGCAGAGAAAGCAAAATTTAACATTTCAGCCTTTTCATGTGCATTATATCTAAAACTTATAAGAACTTGGAAACGACCAGCAGCAGGCTTCAACTGAAAAACTCACCACTCTATTTGAATTGACATATGATGGCTGAAGTACAATAACAAAGAATGGATTTTCTGATTTGAAGGCACTGGCTATTTGAAGAGCTTTAGCTTTTTGTAGTTCAGTCAAGGGTTCAGCGCAGCTCGGACTTGCACATGATGGAGCCTTCCTTTTCGCCGGACGAACCACATCAGTTGAAGCTAATGACTGACGATAATTTAAATCCTGGCCTTGGTAAATGACTACTCTGAATGATATTTCGATACTGTTTATTAGCTCAAAGGCGCAAACATCACCGACTTGGAGATTGTTATCCTGTGCAAAAGTTTTCCATCCAGTTAGTAGCACCCAATCTAGCCTTTTCCCTCTTTGTCTTTGCTTTAAGGTAGCAGTCCAAGTTTTCCCACTTGAGTTGGAAAGAGTGACAGAACAAAGCTCTTTCATCAAATGTTTCCTGGCAAAGTTGATTGGTATGGTCTGCAAATAAGAAAATGGAAGAATAAAAATGAAAATATTAAAAAAAATTTGCTCATTTCTGCCATCTTCGTATATGTGTTAATAATGTAATTGATTGAACAGCATACAGAGGATCTAGTGGGAATTCAATTGATTGCTTACCAGTCTAAATTTGTTATCAGAACTACAACCAACATGGCATGGTTGCATGACAATCTTGAAAAATGGGCTCTCAGATTTGAAAGAATAACTAGCTCTCTTAAGAGCCTTAACCTTTTCATGAACCTTCAATGTCTTACGACCCGTGCTTTTATCACCATTTCTAACTGGACATCCATTATGCTCAACTTGTTGAGGTAGAAATCCAGACTTGTCGTTGCACTCGGTTTCAGTTTTGATAGTTTCATTGGAACTTCTCATCATCTTATGAGGCCGAGGACATGGCAATTGCGGTTTTCGGATCTGTGTGTAGTCATTATCTTGGGATTCATCGATGTTCTGATCCGGAATTTCGTCGGATCGCTCATTATTATTGCCTTTGTGTGGATATTGTATCTCTGAAGCACTAGTATCAAAGATGACTACATGGAATTTGCTATTCCCCTCATATCTAAAAACCAAAAGATACCCCAAATCAAGGGAGTAATGGTTTGAAAATTGAAGCCATCCATTCTCAAGACATATTTTGCTATCAGATTTAGTCAGTTCTACCTTCCATACTTCACCAGATGGGACCCTGAGTAGCGCCGGGCTTGACATTTCATTTCCATGATTTTTCACAAACTTTTGAGGAATTCCCTGTATAAAAGCACTCTTATCATCAAGATATACATAAACAAGTAGTAAAATACAATTACTTAAGAACTATTCAAATTAACAGATAAAAAGTGTTGGAAGAATACTTACAAGTTTTCCATTCTGGATAGTGTCTTGGAGAATCAACTTAAAGAAACTAGGTGAGTTGCTTTTGAACTTTAAATGCCCACTGCCTTGATGGTCAGAAGAAGAAGCCATGCTTGAACAGCTCTGCAAAGAAGTAAAACTGGAATTCATAGGTTGATTAAATAGAAAAGATAAATCTTAATATAGACAGCTACATCTGATTGAATTGTTTTCCTTCAGGGGAAAAAAGTTCCTTTAACCTTCATGCTGGAAAAATCATATTCGTTTGGACAATGAAAATCATGCTCCAGTGTGTTGAACTGGTTTCAACGCTGAAAGTGTGGTGAGGGTGTCAAAGTGTCTTAACTACCACACCGGAGAGCTGTTGGTAAAGTTAATCGTTTCTAGGATCGAGGGGGAGAAGTCAGATTCATTTAATGAACAAAGTTTTGTATTTTCCTTTCATCTTCTCTTCGGCCATTCAAAACAAAGATAGTAGTAATCTATCTGTATCGCAATTTACCAGTAATAGATCTAAAAATATTTTAATTTTTTTCTCATAAAATTTAAGAATAGACACCATCAATGATTAATATAAAAACTGCATATAGAGTATTATGAAAGAGGGTGGGAACGCAACCTTAACCTAAAGGAATAAGTTTAAACGCTTAAGATATTATAAGAAAATAAAGAATAACACCAAATTTAAGAAGGAAAGAATAAGAAAATGCAGGAGAACATACGTAGGTGGGAAGGAGAGGTTTGACGTTTATGGTGGTCTTATGTTTTTGGCTGTAAAATAGAGAGAATTTTAGATAGTAGATTCTAAAAGTGTGGTAATCAGCTTTTAACAACGAGAATTAGGGCAATCTTTTTATCAGTTGACTCGAGTTAAGACTGTGTAAAACATATCTTAGTTGGACTTGGACTTTCATAAAACCTAATTCTAATTAGACTCCCGCCCATTATACTTTCCGACTTGAAGATTGATTCTCCCATCGCCATGGTTGTACGACATCCAACTATTTAAAATTTAAGTCAATTTCTCTTTTAATTTTTTACACTAAATTGGTACGCGTAGAAAATAGAAGAATTCAAGTTTTATTGTTACTATAATACAATGTTGATTCTACTAAAATTATATTCAATAAATAATAATAGACTCATGGTTATAGTTCTTTTTATTATAATTTTTATGAAAATTTTATTATATTTTTAATTTTTTAACCATTTTTTAAAGATTAAATAAGCTTTCAATTAAAATTAATTATGATTCAAATTTAATTAAAATAATTAATTATACCTTTAAATTCAGTCAAAAAAATCAATTAGGTCATTTGTCACATTATCATTCACAATTGAATTAACACTGATCTTAAAAAAATCAATTAGGTCATTTGTTTCAATTTGATATTAGATCTGCAAATTTTTTGGTTAAAATATGTTGAAGGATTAAATTAATGATTTAGTAATATCTAGAGATTAAATTAAATATTAATCTTTTCATTGATTTATCATATCATTATTTAACGTTCATTAATGATAGAGTGATTATTTTATTATAAATTAAAAATTTTAATGATTATAATATACTTTTTAAAATTTATCGAAATATCAATGACTGTTAATGTAATTTATCCTGCACGAAAACGCAAAAAAAAAAATACATGATATATTAGGTTTTGCGCTTCATAAACTAGTATAATATTTACAAAGATTTTGCATAGGGACAGGGTTCATAACCTATGACACTGTTCAATTTTCCAACATTGAAGAGAGAATATGAGAAAGCATCTCTTCCTGCAATGGCTGCCTTCCATTCCTGGCGGAGCTATAAACATGAAACAAATCAACGGTGAACCTCTGAAAAGATCAGGAAGCAATGAAGAAATTAACAACGCTAGATGAGCGAGAAATCTGGCATGAAGATTGGGAAGAACCGAAGGTGTGGTACGGAGCAGGAATCCGGATACGGGCGTGACGTGTCGGAAAAATAAGAGAGGAGACCCAATAATAGAACCCCATGCGACCCGACACTATGATTCTGTCTGTACTATCCCACCCTCCATCAATCTCTCTATCCTCTTATTTCTTTGACCATGACTTCAGTTCTTTGTTCCAAGTCTTTTGGCTCGCAATGCTTAGCCAGAAACTGTCGGGTATTTGGCATTATTAGCTGAACCCTTCGGCATGCTTGTCTATACTACTTTTGGTTCAGTCTATTCATTGCTAGGACGATAGAATCGGCAAACATTTTTACTCAAAGCATTGGAGTCATAAGAGTTGAATTGAAAAAGTTTGTTGATGAAGTTCTGGGAAGAAAACTGTTGTTAACTAGAAATATCATGGACATCCTTAATATTTGCTTCCAATATGGCTGTCCAAAGTAAATTTGCTTACAACCTACTTCATTATGAATTTAGTTCTGCCATGATCAGATTTAAAAGTTGTATATTCTTTGAACTTTGCTGTCTTCTTTCATTACTGTTTACATGCATCCGAATTGCAAGGTTACCATTACAGAAACCAGAAAACTACACCGAATGGGACCATAACATGACTGCTTATCCATATCTGATGATTAACTTCTTCTTTTTTGGGCAAAAACCAACAAAGACCAAAAGATAGAAATATCCAAAAAGAACCTACTTAAACAGCTAAGAGTAGTACAACGCCATGCAGCATTGCTGGCTGATGGAGTCGACCCTCAACAGAGAGCGTAGAGCTCATTCTGCAGCCGACTGATCACAATCTCTTGCCTACAAAACACCGTAAAAGCCAGCTTTTTTTTCCACTATTCTCTCGTTTAACCTTCACAGTTTGTTTCACTGTCCCAATAGATTCTCTTCCTCTCCTCTCTCTCTCTCTCTCTCCCCCCCCCCCCCCAAATAAGAATAAACCCCCTCTTCACTCTCTCCTTAACATCCACAAGCATACACTTGAAGAAGATACTCTAACTTAAGGCACTTTTGTTTTGTCTCAAAATGACGTCAAGTTCCGGGGATCAAAACAGGCGTTTAACCAAGGCTCATGGAGCCCCACCACCGGAACAAGAGCAACTGCTTTGTCCACGCTGTGACTCCACCAACACTAAGTTTTGCTACTACAACAACTATAACTTTTCTCAGCCTCGCTATTTCTGTAAGTCCTGTCGCCGTTACTGGACTCATGGTGGCACCCTTAGGGACATTCCTGTCGGCGGTGGTACCAGGAAAAATGCTAAGCGTTCACGCAGGAACAGCAACAGCACCACAACCACCCATGGCACAGCTTTTTCCGCAACCAATTCTGCCACAACCACCACCGCCCCTAATCATCGTAACTTCCCATTACCTACCACCCCCGTTTTGTTGCCAATCTCTGCTAATCAGGGAAGTTTTGGTATTGGTGGAGAGTCCAAGGGAAATATTTTTGGAAGTTTTACTTCATTGTTGAATACTCAGGGGTCTGGTTTTCTTGCTCTTGGTGGGTTTGGGCTTGGTATTGCTCCAACGCTCGAGGATGTTGGATTTGGGCTTGGAAGAGGAATGTGGCCTTTTCCGGGCGTAGGAGATGGAGCTGCTGCTGCTGCTATTGGTGGGCGTGGCAATGTTGGGGCTGCCACGGAAATAGGGAATATATGGCAGTTTGAAGGTGCAGAGCCTAGTTCTGTTGGCGGAGATTGCTTTTCCTGGCCTGATCATGCTATTTCAACCCCTGGAAATGGTGCCAATTGAATCTTCTTCTTTTCTTAATGTTTCTAGTACAAGGTGAATATAGGGAGTGCCGAGAGTAAACAATTAGCCACATGAAAGTACAAATAGGACTATGACTTCTCTTTATTGTTCTTTGGTGACTTAATGCCATGGGATTTGGTTTACTTTGTCTGCCATTTTCATGCAAGGACATAGCTTAAATCAAAATGATTAGTCTGTGTGTAGTTTTTGATGTTGATATGCTAAACCTTTACTGCTTTAATTTCAAAAAAATTTCATGGGAGCTAGCCAAATAAAATTTCTGCTAGCGTTCTTGTTTCAGGATCACGGGATGGCTGAATGGTTTTTTTTTTTATTAATATCTTTGATTATTTTGTTTAACCAAATGGAATGCCAATTAAACATTGTGAAAGTTTATTAGTATCATGATAAAGATGAGCCTAAACAGTTCTGCTCCTCAATATCATTAAAAATGCCTCGTTTAATTTAAAAAACTAAAAGTTTCTTTGTCTTCCTAGTAACTCCTCAATATGGTATCTGTTATTTCAATCATATTGACTGGTACACATTAATTTTCTGAATTGATAGGTTATTAGTATTGTATTATTTTGTTGTTTGTATTAACTCACAGTCTTTTGTATTTTCAATCAAGAGTCCAACTAAAGATTTTAACAAAATTATGGGGAGAAATGAAGTCAGAATTCTTATCTGATAATTAATCAGAAAGAGCAGTAGAAATTAAAACTTTCAACTAAGGCTTAACTAAATTGATTTACAGAATCATTTGTAAGAGATGATGATGAACAAACCTAAAGTTTGAATTTATGTATCCATTGATAACCCTTTACATGGAGCAGAGGTGGATGGTTTATGGCCTACACATTTTTCTGAAGGTAGATATGTGATTAAAACAGTCCTAAAGACCATTCATTCTTTATATATATATACGTGTTTGATTTTTTGTATACATTTCATACAATATAAAAAAGTATAGATATTGAATTCATCTTATTAATATTTGTCGTACAATACTTTAGTTGATTTCGTTTCATTTAGTTTAGCTTTAATTTCGATTTATAAAATTTTAATAAAATTCAAATTATAAGGAATCTTTACGTCACATTACTGATGGCCTTGTCTCCAAAAAAATACGTCGGCTGGTTTAACTAGTGAAAGGCTTAAAGTCGAAAGCGGTATTAGAGAAACCAACTGTATTCCGGTAAAATAATCTAAAGCATCGTATTCGTCTAGAAGAAAAAAAATTATGTTTACATTATGACCTTATAGAACGACAATGACTTAAATATGTTCGTATTACCAGAAAAGCTAAAGGGTCAACGTGTCATGTTTTACTCCAATTACTTGAAATGCCTTTGAATAACATCCTTTTTTTGATTGGATATGGCTTTGACTATTCCTCAAATCTGCCAATTAGTCAACCATAGACATATTTTAGTTAATGTGGTATATATATATATTTCTAACCTCAAGAGTTGTATTCGTCTCACGATTAAATTGATGAAACTTTTAAATATTAATGATTACAATTATTAAATTGTTTTAAATTGTGAATAAATCGATAGGATATATAAGTTTCTAATATTAAAATTGTTATTATACTAGGTCATATTAGACATATATTTTAATTCTAGTAACATATATAATGACATGTTTATAATAATATTTTAATTAAAATATTAAATTATATATATTTTTTAAAAGCAATTCATTTATAATTAAATTAATAATTGAACAACATGTGTTGTATTTTACCCTTATATATAATACAATGCTAAATATGCTATTGTGTGCTAGTGGACTTACTTGATCTCCAAATACTAATTGGTGTTTGACAAATAGAAAATAAAAAATGGGTATATTTTCAAGTTCATTAATGGATTTGGAACTGTAATATGTAGGGACCAATGTCAAGATTATTGTTGGCTAGCTCAATGAATTATGTCATCTCTGTTGGACGTGAAATAATGAAAAATAAATAAAATCAACCAAAAAGGGAAAGGTGGGGGTTTAGCCCCATTAATAAACAACCTAGAGATCTCAATAAATTATTCCAGTGGATGGATAATAGTGGCTTAATGAGAGTCAACCCCTTAATAGGTTTGTTATTATATTTTAAATAAACATATTAAACGATCTTATTAGTAAAAATAAATTTTATTTTTATTAGAGGTCTCAAATTTGAGCAATAGCATTTGCAAGATGTATTTACATTATTAATAACTCAAAAAACATTCTAAATAATGCACGATCAACATTGATGGAACAATGCACCCGGAAACTCTATTGGCATAGTTGGAGGGCTCATTCGTAATCTCGACGGAGATTGTCTCGTTGGCTTCCAAAAATATCGTGGGATTTTTCAACCTCTCCACGCATAATTTCAGGGCATACTCAAAAGTCTTTACGTTGCATGGAATCATGGCTTTGAACAAGTCCAATATCAAATTGACTGTGACAGAACTCAAATTCATTTCCTCCATCGACACTCACGCTAGCTCGATGGCCCTTGTTCGTGCGATCTTAAACATATTTTCTAAAATTTGGATGGTGGATTTCGTTCTAATCCATCGTGAAATAAATTTTATTGTTGACTTTGTAAACCAATTTTTATCAAATGCACAAGGCACCATTTCCATGCACCAATTCATCCCCTGTCATGTAGAAACTCTTGCAACAAGCAAACCAAACTCACACTCCACTCAACACATCAAAACAACAAAGCAAAAACAACAAGCAAGATTTAAATGGTGATTTTTGTTGTTGTAAAAATTGGGCATATTAACCCACGATTGAAACTGTAAAAAGGATCGGTTAGATACATCCCAAAAAAAGCAGCGTAATAAGTGAAACAACCAGAAGCAATAAACATGGTTTTTTCTTCTAAATAGTCGAATAACCCCTTTTTTCTGTTTTCTTCTTCTTTTTTCAGTGCTTTCGTTTTTTCGTTTTTTTTGGATCTCAGTGAAACAACGTTTGTAGATTTTGAAAATAAAATACAAGTCTTTATTCAAAATAAAAAACGAGGCTTCCTAACATCCAACGAACCCATTTTATAGCAAAAAAAAATGTACAAAAAGAATTAAAAAGAGAGAGAGAGAGGGAATCGAGGTTACATTGAATCGTCGGAGTAGTCACCCGAGCCCGGAAAGCCAAACAGTCTCGGCCGTTTTTACGGCGATGAAGGCCGTTTCGTGCGAAATTGAGCCTAGATCTGTGACGAGAAGCCCGAGACGAACCTCTCGTGAATTTTGGTGCCCAAAAAGGAAAAAGTTGTATTTATAAAATAATTTATGGGGAAATCACGTTTTAGGTCCCACAATAATTCCCGTGTTTTTACAAAAATGGTCACAAGAAGGGACTGTTTTTATAATTTTTCATTTTATGTTTGTGCTTTAAAATTTTTTGTATAAGTTCAATTTAATCCCCCCACTTTTAGCGCATTTTTACACTTTAGTCATGAAATTTCGTGGATTGATTTTGTAATTTTGCCTTTTCTATGCATATGCTGTTACTTTTTAAGTTATTATCATTTTTAGTCCCCCAAACGTTGTCGTGTTTTTACATTTTGGTCATTGAACCTTTCGTTTCTAATTTTTTTTTGCAAATTTATCATTATGTTTGTTTTATTTTAATTTAGTCACTATTAGTTTCTGATTTAGCTATTATTGTTTTAATTTTTGCATTTTGGTCACTATTTATTTCCTATTTAACTACTAACTTTTATTTTCTTGCATTTTAGTAACTGTTATTTTATTTTATGCAATTAGGTCCTATTATTTAGGTTTATTATTTATTTATTTATTTTTTTAATTAAGTTTATTAAATGTTTCTCTTTTTAAATGTAGATTCTTAGATTTAATTTCGACATTCGAATCAAGCTTAGAATTTAGGACGATACTCCAGTTTAATTAGAAAGAAATTTGGATCGAGTTTTCGCATAAGATGCCCGATTACTCGAATCGATTGCTCGACTTTTAAAATTTATTAATAATTAATATTTTCTAAAAAATTAAGTTTAATAATTTAGAAAAATTAGGTTGTTAATTAGCCCCCAACTTTAGAAGTTATCAATTCAGGTCCTTAAGCTTTTAAATCTTTAGGAACTTGATATTTTTAGAACTTGACCTTTTTAGTCCCTGAACTTCGATTAGTGTTTTAATATTGACATAATTAAATAGGTTAAATAGAGCCTCCACTTTTAGTTAGATTTCAAGCTAGTCTTGTAAATTTGGGAATAATTCTAGTTGGCCCTCGCCTAAATGCTCGAGGGACCATCTCGATTATTCGATTTGATAATTGATTAAAATCAAATTGGATTAATATTATAGTCTATATTTAGGTTTAGTCCCCTAGGTTCCCTAATTTTCATAATTTGACACCTTAAGCTAGAAAAAACCTTTAATTTACCTTAGCTTAATTAGGACGAATAATAATTTGTTTGATGGCATTGTTTTTTTAACCTAAGGCAATGTTCATTTATTAGGGAATTAATAGTACATCTCTCGCAAGTATGCTCAGGGGATGACTACTGGTGATTCTTGAAATAGGTCGACATCCTTTTCAAAGATCGCATAATGATTTTAAAAAAACGAGGCAATGTTCGGTTATTAGACACAATAGTTGATCTCCTGCATTTATGCTTGGGAGTGAATGATATCGATCTCAATAAATGAATAACATTTCCAACTTTGCATTTGTAATGATTTTCAAATTAAATAAAGATCGAACTCAATTTTTGATTTAAAATATTGGATAATCAACTAGGTACAAATTTTTGGGCGCTTGTGGGGGTGCTAATCCTTCCCCACTCGTAACTTACTCCCGAACCCAATTTTTGGATTTTCATAGACCCTAAAACTCAGTATTTTGATAAAAATGAAATATTTTTATTAAAATCACCCGGTTTTTACGGTGTTCTAATCGCACCTTAAATGATTGGTGGTGACTCCTCACATTTCGAGAATTCCTTTCAAAGAGAAAACCCCCGAGTCAGTATCAGTCTTTTCCCCGCCCGAGCGAAAAATGGATCGACAGCTTAGCGACTCCACTGTGGACTTTGTTTTTTAAACAAATTGAGAGTCGAGCCACGAGTTTGTTACCCTATATTTAGGATTTTAAAAATTAAGAGTTCGGTCTTATTTCATTTATGGTTCATTATATTATTTCAAAAAAGAAAAAAAGATTTTCTCTTTTGTTAATGCTTACACTTTTGTGGAA